TGAGTGAAAAGCTAAAGAACAGTGCCTAGGCCCTGAGTTCAAGCCCAGTACCTGCACAGACACATACATGCTCACACTTACAGAGAATCTTTCAAAGGGTCCTGAGTGAAGCACCCTACCACTGGGGCCACCTAGAGTCCTTCTGGGCTGATCTTGATCTCACTTCAGGTCCAGTGTCCAAATTTCTCCAGTAACTGTATTTCTGATAATCCCCCCTCTTCCCCAATTTCCTAAAGGAAGAAGTTGGTGTTAGCAATGGGTTTTCTTCTATCTAGAGGCTGAGGATGAGATTTTGCTACCTTTTTTCTAGGAGGCATGTAGCATAAATCTATGCTGGCAGTCCCTATCCCCAGAACAGGAAGTCAGAGATCCCCAGTCATGGTGAGCAATGGATAAAGAAGTACGAGCTACGCGAAGGAGAGAAAAATCAATGTTGCAGGAGTATTTTACTCAGGAAAAGAAACTGGAAGAAAATCTGCCTACTCTGGGAAGTGATTTTTTGGAATGTACTGATAAGAAACCTGCTGCCTTCAGCAGGGAGTACAGTGACCTCCCCACAGAAGCTCTTTTCTGGGGACCTGTGGACACTTTCTATGGCTTCCATGCTGCAAATGTGTGCAGGGTGCTTTCAGACCTTGCTCTGAGAAAATCCTCAGTATTCAGCTGCCTAAGACTCAGATGCTCAGATGACTTAGCTACTGAGAGCTGCCCCAATCCCTAGCACTAACTTCTCATACATGTGAAGGAGCCTTGAAAAGTCATGCTAGCTCTAAGTCATCCTGAGACTCTCTTAGACAGGGAGGCAAAGGTGGGAAGATGGGAAGGGGATAGCTGCTAGTTATGAGCAGTGGGGCAGATAGACCTGAGGGGGCTAGAGATAGGCAGACTCCTAGCAGTACAATGGCAGGATAATGACCCCGGAGGAGAGGAGGTTACCCTTCCTGCCGCCTTGCTCTGGGCATTCCAGTAGGCCATGTTGGGTGTCTTTGCCACTCTGCAGCTGGGGTTTTGCATTTTTTTTCCTTTCTGATCTCATCACAGGTCCCAAAGTACCTGCTTTGTGGTAACAGTGTGTTTTTACATACCCCACTTATCCAGTAGGGCTGCAAGGGCAGCTTTGGGACAGCATGCCTGTGGGTCTCAAATGAAAATGGAAGATATAAGAAAAATAGCTCAGAAACATGGAGCTACATGAAAAAAAAGGAATATGTGAAAGTAAAATAAAACATTTTACATTCCTTTTTTTTTTTTTGATCGGTCATGGGGCTGAAACTTATGGCCTGGGGCTTTGTCCCTGAGTGCCCTACTACTTTGAGCCACAGCACCCCGTTCAGTTTTCTGGGGGTTAACGGATGATGAGTCTCACAGACATTCCTGCCCAGGCTAGCTTTGAACTGTGATCCTCAGATCTCAGCCTCCTGAGTAGGATTACAGGCATGAGCCACTGGTGCCTGGTTACATTCCTTATTCTAAATTGATCAATAACTATTATTGATCTAACAGTTTAAATGATATTAACAATAAAGCATTAAGTGTTTATGCCTAATAGTAAGTGAAAGAAATGACAGTGATATTAAAAGGAAAGGGAAAGGAGTTCTTATCTCTCTCTTACAAGGTACCCTTACTACCAGAGGAGGACAAGGCCATCTAAAAGTTGTTTTGACTGCTTATAAATGTCATCTGCAAAATCTAGGGGAATCACCAAAATCTTAAAAAAATAGGATGCCTTTCACTAAATTTAAAATTTTATGCCAGTCCACTTATATATCCTAGGCTGGCCTTATCATCTTTCTGTCTGTCTCCTAAGTGCTGTTATCGGCAGTGTCACTACATTGGGCTAAGATTTTAAATTCTAAAAAATTGAGATGCTGAACGAAAGGAGAATGTGGGTTCATATAGGATACTTATTCAAATGATAAAAGGCAAAAAATGAGCAGAAGACAAAGAATCTGGAATAATAAATTAGAAAAGGTATAAGTGTAGTCAGTATTAATTCAATTAAATCAATAATCACTTTAAATGTGAACAATCCAGTATACAAATTAAAAGACAGATTATCAAAGTGAACAAAAAAACAAGAAACCTCTATTAAATATAAAGACTTGTGCTTTTAAACATTAACTTAACTATAAAAGGATAAAGATATGCCATACTAAACCTTAAGAAAGCTGAGCTTTAAAATTTTCAGAGTAGACTTCAGAGTACTGAGAATTACTGGGGCTAAAAAAGTCATTAAAATAATGATAATGGGGCCAAGTCACTAAGAAGATTTGGCAATCCTTAATGTGTATATAGTTGAGAAAGCATCAAGTACATGAGTCAAACAAAGGGAACTTTGAGGAGAGTTCCTTTATAAAAACCCTAATATTATAGTGGGTGACTTCAACAATCCTCTACCAGTGACTGATACAGCAGGAAGAAAAGCCATCAGGATAGAATCAAATTGAGAATTTCATCATTCAATAAGATTAAATAGACATTATTGAGTTATTCATCGAATAGCAGCAGAATATTCTTCTCAAGTTCATAGTGAACATTCTCCAAGAAAGACTATATTCTCGGCTGTACAAAATACTTAGCCACATTGAAAAATACAGACATCTTTGGGAGGGGCAAGGGGGAACACAAGAATGAAGGGACAAAGGGTGAAAAAAAGCAGCAATAATACTCCGTAGATACTATGTTGAAAATGAATTATACAACTTGTGGGCGGGATGGGAGGGAAAAAACTGGGAAAGAGCAAAGGAAGCAGTGATATTGTACTCTTTACTTGACATATGAAATGTACATTACTTCATAATGCATAATACCTCTGTACATTACTTCATAAGAACATTAAAAAATCTAGAACTGGATGAGGTAGGGCATTCTTGCAATCCAAGCACTCATTTGGCTGAGGCAGGATTGTGAATTCGAGGACAGCAGGCTATATGGGAAGATCTTGTTTCAAAACCAAACCAAACCCAAACAAAAAACAATGTAAAATAAAACAAAAACTTTTGGATATAATGAAAGCAAAACTATTTATAGTATTGGGGGCTGGGAATGTGGCTTAGTGGTAGAGTGCTTGCTTAACATGCTTGAGGCCCTGGGTTTGATTCCTCAGTACCACATATATAGAAGAAGCTGGAAGTAGCTGTGTGTCTCAAGTGGTAGAGTGCTATTCTTGAGCAAAAGAAGCTTAGGGAAATAGACTAGGACCTGAGTTCAAGCTCTAGGACTGGCAACAACAACAACAAAAAATTTATAGGACTGAATATTTCACCTTTTACTAGAAAAGAAAATCTAAAGACAATAATCTAGACTTTCACTTGAACAAAAAAAAGAGTAGTGCATTAAAATCAAGGAGAATAAAAATAATAACAAATAGAGTAGTAATCAACAAAACTAGGAACAGAATCTCAAGGAACTTAGACTCTGGTTCTTTGAAAAGATTTATGAATATTTGAAATGATATATGATATACTGTGGATGAACCTTGAAAATACTCAGAGATTATTAAAGCAAAAAGTAGACTGGTGTTTCCTAAGATGAATTTATGGGAGGTGGTCAGTAATAGGGACTGACTAATAATGGGTTTAGGGAATCTTTTTGCTCCTGTTTAAATAGTGAATTATAGAAAATGCAAGTCATGCCCAAAATTGTTGGAAAAATACCTGATCCTCAAGCCCCTGAAAGCTTCACTTTTAGAAATCAGTAGGGAATGATGTCCAAGAACATATTTTAGCCTCTTTTCAAATTGCAAGAACATGGGGACATTTTAGATGTCCATCATTGGAGCAGTTCATGAGGGCCTCATATGCAACTGTAAAACTCTTGATTCAGACACCCCTCTGAACAGATATTTTGGCTAGACTATTAAGTGGGAGAAGCAAATGACAGAATAGCATGTAGCAAGCCATCTCAACTTCAGAGATAAGAACACTCCTCCAAGGAAGCAGCTGAGGCTCTGTGTTTGGAGCACAGGGGCAAGATGGATGCACAGTGGTTGCCTGGCTGGATGTCATTACCTCCTACTGAGTTTAGCTTGCACTGGTTCCAACGCATATACATTACTTTCATTATGAAAACATTATATATTACATATATTTATTCATTATAAAGAAAGCATTAATTTGATTTTCAGTTATCCAACCAGTTGCTGAAACATCTTCTCCTTAGATATATCAAAAGCACCCACACTCTCCAGACAGACAGCTAGCTGGTCCTCTCAAAGCTGCCACAGCCACTATTTCTTACTTTGCAAACAGCACTCTCAGTTCCCCATCCGGGCCAGAAGCTTGTAGGTGGAGGCAGGTCTTCTCACCACTGCACCCCTCCCCTACTTTACTACCCAATCCATCAATTTCCCTCCTAACTAAACTTTCTCTTAGATTTACTGCTCTGTCAGCGTCAACACTGTCACCTCACTGGTTCTTCATCTGTTCTTCCTGGATCGAAATAAGACCAACACCTTCTTTAGTCTTTAAGGTCAGCTCTTCCTAACTTCTCCCTGCATCTTCCTCATTGAGGCTGCCAGTCTCCTTGTATAGAAGCATGCTTCTGATACTTGATTGGCTTCTCCAGCCTCCTCTCAGTACATTCCTCCGTCCTGCTGCCTATTATTCTACCTTTCCCAGGACATTATTACCTGCTAACTTTCTCCTGTGGGCTGCCTTTTTAAGTTCTTTTCCTTGCACCTATTCTCCACATATCATTTGGATCTCAGCTCTAGACTCTAGTTTTTAGGGAACTTCTTTGACCTTCCCAACAATGGTAAGGGTCTCATTATTATAAGCTGGAACATTCAAACTGTTAGATTCATTTATACATTCGTTGACTCATGTTTTTCTATATATATTTTCTAAGCTTAAGAAGAAAAAAACCTCATCTTACTTGTTCCTTATGGATCAATGTCTAGAACACAACAGGCACAAAACAGTCTTGTTGAATAAGTGAGTATAAAATAGTACATTATTTAAGATGATATAAACAGCATCTCTGGCAAGATGGCTGCTTACCTTGCACTCTGCAAATGCAGTTGACAGGTGTGAATGAGTTTAGTTCATCCAGCATCACTGGGCCAGGCAGTTCACAGGGGCCAACACCAGAGGCCACACATACAAACAGCTTTTGAGGCAAGAGGATGGTTCGTTCCACACAAATAATCTGACCTGACAACAGAGACCCTTCAGATTATTGAAACACTGAAGAAAATTACAAGTTTTCTTTGCTAGTAAAAACAGTGTTCTTCAATCTCTGAGAGATGAAGGTCATGTCTGCTCCTAATCCCAAGGATGTGTCTAGCAGTACACATGCTCTGTAAAATTTTGCCTGAAAGCAGCCAGTGAACTTAGAAAACAATATAAATACTACATTCAAATTCAACTTGGTACTGAGTGCCAGTGGCTCATACCTGTAATTCTACTCAGGAGGATGCTGACATCTGAGGCAGTTCAAAGCTAGCCCAGGTAGGGTAGGAAAGTTTATGAGAATCTATCTCCAATTAACCATGAAAAAAGTTGGAAGTGGAGCTGTAGTTCAAGTGGTAGAGCACTAGCCTTAAAGGGACAATACCCAGGTCCTGAGTTAAAGTCCCAGGACCAGCAAACACTCTCCCCCCCCTCTCTCTCACACACAAACACACACAAAAGCAGGAATACATTTATTTAATTTTAGGACTTTTAGTTTTACTCCTGCAGAAAAAGGGCTGAATCACTGAAACCTTTTTTTTTTTGAGACAGGATCTTACTATATAAGCCCAGGCTAGCTTTAAGCTTGTATTTCTTCTGTTTTAGTCTCTTGAATGTTGAGATAAAAAGTGTTCAGCACCACACCTGAATTAAAGCCTATACATCTGTAATGTTCTAGCTTCTGGTTTATTTTAAAAGAGGTCATCCAGGATATGGCTTCAGGTGGCTTCTGTGCCAACATAGGGTGCTCCCAACAGTCATGGAGTGGTCAGTGATGTCTCCATGGGACCTACCATCACTTTGAGGGTGCTAGCTTTCCCAGGTAGCCATGACAGGATCACTGAAAGCCCAGGTCTGGTATGCTCACCATTTAGACCCCAAAGGCAATGTCTGTGCTGAACTGATTTTTTTTTTCTTTCTGTACTGGAATTGAACTCAGCACCATGTGCCCAGCCCTGCTTTTAGCTGGTTAATTAGAGATGGAGTCCACGGCTTTACTGCCTGGCTGGTTTTGAAACATGATCCTCCAGGTCTCAGCCTTCTGAGTAGGTAAGATGATTGACATTTGGCCAACAGCCTCTGGCTTGTGCTGGGCTTTTTGAAGGTGCCACCTGTGCTGAGTAAAATGGAGGCATGTGCAAGCAACTGTGCCTTTGTGTGGCACTCATCAGTCATCCCAAATACAGCTGTGGAGGAGAGGCAAGCATACCTTGTTCTCGGAGAGCATCCCTGAAGAGAATGGTGTGAGGTACTGCCATGGTGAGTGCTTCTAGGATTTCAGGGCCCAGCACACAAGAGGAGGTCACACAGACTGGCAGGGTTTTAGGGAGGTGGGGTTCACTCTCATCCTTTGTTTGGAGGGTCACATCAGTGACCAGCAACCAAATCTCCCTTTGCTCCAAAAGAAGTAGACTCTTCAGCTACAGTTTGAAAGTAAAGTCTGTCAACTACGCTTACATACAAAGTTAATTTATAAAAGCAATTATCTTAGAGGATTATTATCCCTAATAATAATACTCTATCAGGGCCAGAGCTAAGGCTCCAATGGTATTTTTCTTTGTGTGTGTGCCAGTCCTGGAGCTTGAATTCAGGGACTGAGCACTGTTCCTGAGCTTTTTCTTACTCAAGGCTAACACTCTACTACTTGAGCCACAGTGCCACTTCTGGCTTTCTCTGTTTATGTGGTGCTGAGGAATCGAACCCAGGGCCTGTGCATGCTAGGCAAGCACTGTACCACTAAGCCAAATTCCCAGCCCAATGGTATTTTGGAGATATTGAACTTTCTACCCAAGTTATTCTTGAGCCCTGACCATGAGTAGCTAAGTTTAAAAATACTTTGAAGCACCAGGTGCTGGGGGCTCGCACCTATAATCCTAGCTACTCAGGAGGATGACATCTAAGGATTGAAGCCTAGGCAGGTAAGTCCATGAGATTCTTTATCTCCAATTAACCACCAGAAAATTGGAACTGGCGCTCTGGCTCAAATGGTAGAGCATTAGCCTTGAGCTGAAGAGCTCAGGGACAGCACCCAGACCCAGAGTTCAAGCTCCACAACCAACAACAGCAACAAAAAACTTTGAAGCATACAACGGAATTTTGGTTACTAGGTAGGGCACAGCTTGTGCCTTACCTTGCAACTGCTTAAAGTGTTTCTTAGTAGTACTGAAGCCCACCTTTTGCTGGCAGTGCCCTTTAGCTGGCTCTACTTATTCTCTGTCGAGTTAGGCAGAGTCTATCATTCTTTCCTTGCTGGTCCCACTTTTGTATAACTGGAATACTCATACATTCTCTTTGGGTAACTGCTCACAATGGATCTCATTGGCCCTTAGATTTTTTTTTCTGAGGCCTTGCAACAAAAGAGGTGTCATGTATCTGCAATAGCTTTTGTTTGTCCTTAGTCTTTCTTTACTTTTATTATAATCTCTTTCTTTTTTATTTCTTTTTTTACTTGCATAGCTGTAATGTCTTTTCAAGTTCCATTAAACTAGCATCAAGGGTCAAAACTGAGGATTTAATAGAAATGGGGCCAAAAAGAGCCAATAGGCCAGAGCCTGATGGCTTGGCTAGTTGGAGATTCATATTAGTATTGCTAGTGTGGCCTCTGTGACCAGGCTGAAAATTCAACATGGCTAATCAACAGGACTGCACAGAGGTGAATTCATAGGCAGGAGCTGTGGGTTGGAGTGAAGGAGGTAGTCTTCATGGGTGGAAGGTTGACGACATATAGGAAGTTGGAGTAATACTGAGAAAAATGAAAAATGCTGCTAAAATCTAGAGCAAACTTTTTGGTATGGTCAATGGATTTTATATAGAAACATAGAAGTAGATATGGATGTCTATGTACATGAATATACACACGTCTCTTTCCTTGCTCTGTCCAATGAGAGGCTCTAAAAGCAATGACATCCTAATAGTACTAAGCACACCTAGAATCCAAATCTTGGTTTCTAAAGGGCATTCTTCATTAAAGTTAGCCCTCTTTGTGAAGAGAGGGCTACTTCCAAAGTATAAAAAGCAAAGATGAGTATGATACATATTGTGTCAGAAGTAAGGGAAGACTCAAAAGATGATGGAGGGGCTGGGAATGTGGTTTAGTGGTACAGTGCTTGCCTAGCATGCATGAAGCCCAGGGTTCAATTCCTCAGTACCACATAAACAGAAAAATCTGGAAGTGGTGCTGTGGCTCAAGTGGTAGAGCACTAGCTTGAAGCAAAAAGAAACTCAGGCCAAGTTCAAGCCCCAGGACTGGCAAAAAAAAAAAAAAAAGATGAAAACATGCCCCAAAGAGAGCCAGCTAAATTCTAGAAATTTTGAACATTAAAATGAATAGCAGTGTGTGAATACAATCAAAGTATTTCATATACATGTATGAAATAATGGAACCTTTTAAAGATTGTTTTAAAGAAGGTTAGAATGGATAAAAAAAGAGCATTATATGTACTAAAGTACATTACATACAGTATGAAAATTCACAATAAATATTCACAAATAATATATGCTAACAAAAGAGAAAAAAGAAAAATGAAAGTAAAAAAATAGTAACAGACTATAACAATAAGTAAAAATTGAATCCACTGGTCCATACAGACATGAATATATAAGTGACTACTTAATTAAATCAGGGGGAATGAAAATGTAATTAGGAGTAATTGCAGATTACCATTAATAATGTAAAAGAAATGCTATCATTATTGATTCAGGCAAAAACCATAGTAAATGTTAAAATGACTGAGCAAAAGTTTGATAAGAAACAGGATATTTAGTTTCAAAGCATCTCACCATAAAATGATTATTAATGAATAAGTGTAAATTATATTGTTAACTTTCAAGTGGAAAGCTTGGAAAATATCATGTTGACTAAGTGAAAAGATATCAGTTCTGGAAACAGTATTATGAATGTGATATTTCTGAGAAAAGTGAATAATCTAAATTTATCAGGTATCAGAAACACCTAAGACAAGGGATATTTTTTTTTTCTTTTTCTTTTCTGGGGCTTGAACTCAGGACCTGGGCACTGTCCCTGGGCTTCTTTTGCCCAAGGCTAGTACTCTACCACTTGAGCCACAGAGCCACTTCTGGCCTTTTCTGTTTATGTGGTACTGAGGAATGGAACCCAAGCCTTCATGTATGCTAAGCAAGCACTCTACCAGCTCCAAGGGACATTCTATTATTTAGTAAGTAGTCCATATTCATAAACAAAGTCAAGGTCATAAAAGTTGAGATGAAATATTCTATTTAAAGAGGATGAAAGAGATATGGCACTGAAATGCACTGCATGGTCCTGTATTGGACCATGACATTAAAAGTGTATTTTTGGAGTAACCAGCAAAAACATTTATTGGTAGATATCTTAAAAAGGGCAAAGATTTTATTTTTTATATTTTTGGTAGTACTGGGGTTTGAATTTAGGGCCTCATTCCTGATTGAGCCACAGCCCTTAGGGCAGAGATTTAAAATGCTGCTTGGAAATAGCCAAGATTTGGCCTATGGTCTCTCGTTCAACTGACTGATCTGATAAAATCTTGTAATTTCTTTTGAAATTACCGTTGAAATATTTCTACTATTAGGGTATGAACATAGTCAGTAACAAGAAAACCTATAAAAAGACACCAAAGCTAGGTGTGGTAATGCCTGAAATTCTAGAAGAGGCGGAGGCAAGATGATGAGAGTTTGGCGCTACCATGGCACCATAGAGAGATCATGTCTCAAAAAACAAAATCAAGCAACCAGTTAGAGGTAGACATAAAAAGGTGAGAAGTTCACAGTGAAAGGCTCACCTTCCACAAAATAATTAAATAATGAAAGCAAAAAGGGTTAGAGGCATGGCTCAAGAGTTAAAAGTACCTACTTAGCCAAGAATTCAAACCCCAGCACTACTAAAAACAACAAAAATCCGAAAAAACCAAATAACCTATCAATGACACATCAATAAGTGATTTAAAGCAGTTCCAAAGTTTTTGTAATTTTTTTTCTTAAAAATGGACTTCTTGGGGCTGGGAAGGTGGCTCAGCGGTAGAGCGCTTGTCTTGCATGCATGAGGCCCTGGGTTCGATTCCTCAGCACCACATAAGCAAAAAGAAAAAAGCCGAAGTGGCACTGTGGCTCAAGTGGTAGAGCGCTAGCCTTGAGCTGAAGAGCTGAGGGACAGCGCCCAGGCCCAGAGTTCAGGCCCCACAACTGGACCCAAAAAAACAAACAAACAAAAATGGACTTCTTTATACACAAGTAACAATTTGAAAGCTAACTATGTCATGCAATAGGTGAATGGATAAATAAGCTTTGGGACAGCCAGACAATGGAATACTTATTATTCAGTAATAATAAGAAATGAACTCTTCAGACATAGAAATGGAAATGCCTAGTATGAAAGCCAGTCTTCAAATTTATGGCACTCTGAAAAATGTGAAACTATTGAAACAATAGTTTAGTTTTTTCCAGCTGTTCAGGAGAGGGAGGTAGGATAGGGAAGAGAGAAATAAGTAGATCACAGAGGATCTTTAGAGTAGGAAAATTATTTTGTATTATGCTAAAATAAAGGAAAAATGTCATACATCTGTGCAAACTCACAGAAAGTACATCACAAGTTAACCCAAACATATAGTTAACTTTAGGATTAACTCTTGATTAAGTTCTGGGTGATTATAATGTGTCAAAATATTCATCAATTGACAACAAATGTACCACTCCAGTGAAGGAGTGTTAATATAGAGCAGGCTATATATATGTAGGACATAAATGGGAAATCTCTGTACCTTCCTTATGAATTTCTTAGAAACTTTGAACTTTTCTAAAAACTAAAGTGTATTGTCTTTTTTTGTTGTTGTTGGTTGTGGGGCTTGAACTCTGGGCCTGAGTGCTGTCCCTCAGCTCTTCAGATCAAGGGTAGTGCTCTACAACTTGAGCTACAGTGCCACTTCTGGTTTTCTAGTTTTAGGTTTATTGGAGATAAGAGTTTCATGGAATGGGGGGGGGGAGTGGGGAGTGTAGTTGTGGAGATGGGAGGGCAGGGATGGTAGGGGAAAAACACAGAAGGAGGCAACAGTGCTTGATAAGAAATGTACTCATTACCTTGCTCATGTAATTGTAACCCCTCTGTATGGTATTTTTACAATAAAAAACTTATTTTTTTAAAAAAAGGAGTTTCATGGACTTTCCTGCCTGGGCTGGCTTTGAACCACAATGCTCAGATCTCAGCCTCTTGAGTAAGTAGGATTACAGGCGTGAGCCACTGGCACAGGGCTAAGAAGTCTTTAAAGCTCTATTTAACTTAAAAAAAAGTGTCTGAGCCTGGATGATACAGAAATCTACAATGTTACTGATGGGATGAAATATCAATATATCAATATTTATGTTAATATAGAGATAATATGTATACTACATGTTATAATTTTATTTGAAAAGATATTTCCCACAAAATATGACCAATTAATTTTTGAGAAAAGTGCAAATGTAAGTTAAAGGAGGAATTCCAGTAATAACTGGACATCCACAAGGAAAAACATGAACCTTGGCTTAAACCATGTATTTTAAACAAAATCTAAGTCAAGATACACTGTTAATTAAAATATAAAATATACAGTTGTACATTTTCTAAAAAGAAATGTAAGAGATAAATGTGGGACCTAGGACTGACTAGGCAAACAGATTTGGCTTGTCTTAGATTTCACAATAAAATCTTGAAAAAAAATTGGTAAATATGACCACATCAAAATTAAAAACGTCTGCTCTGAAAAAAACAACAACTGAACAATACAATACAAAATAAAAACTTTGTTGAAAGGATGAAAAGATAATTTATAATCCCTAAGAAAATCATATTTGACAAAGCCTTTGTATGTAGAATACATAAAGAACTTTAAAAACTTAACAGTGAATTAAGAAGCAGTCCAGTTAGAAAATGAGTGAAAGAAAAACAGATATTTCACCAACAAGGATAACACAAGGGTAGCAAATAAGCACAGGAAAAAAGTGTTCAACATCATTAGTCCTCTAGTCAAATCTCTAGTCTAGAGAATTACAGTAATGGAAAAAGCCAATCTCAAAACAATCTGTTATACGTTTAATTTTGTGCCCCTCACTTCAAAAGAAAGATTTGTTGTGGTCCTAAAGTACCTAAGAATGCAATTTATTTAGCAATAGGGGCTTTGTAGCTTTAACTAAATTAAGAGGAGATAATTAGGGAAGGCTATAATCCAATATCCTGGTATGTCACAAAATGGGAGAAATTTGGACTGATATATACACAGGGAAACAACATGAAAACACACAGGGAGAGAAAGTCATGTGATTGGAGTGATGTATCTATATGCCAGGAAATGCCAAGTATTGCCAGGAAACAGTGGAAGCTGTAGGAGGCAGGGAATATCCTCCCTTAGGGTTGTTAGAGGAGCACAACTCTAGATTCTGGGATTTCAGATTGCTTGGCTCTGTAGGGTATGAGAATAAGTGTGTGTGTGTGTGTGTGTGTGTGTGTGTGTGTGTGTGTGTGTGTGTGATTTCAGACTGCTTGGTTCTGTAGGGTATGAGAATAAGTGTGTGTGTGTGTGTGTGTGTGTGTGTGTGTGTGTGTACTGGGGATTGAATTCAGAGCCTTGCACATACTAGGCAAGTGTTTTAGCACATGAAGAGCCATTTGTGTTTGTATTATGGTTTTGAGTTAGGATTCTATGCTTTTGTCTAGGCTAGTCTTTTTTTTTTCTTTTTCTTTCTTTTTTTTTTTTTTGTCAGTTGTAGAGCCTGAACTCTTGGCCTGGGTGCTGTCCCTCAGCTCTTCAGCTCAAGGCTAGCACTCTACCACTTGAGCCATAGCACCACTTCCAACTTTTTCTGCTTATGTGGTGCTGAGGATTGAACCCAGGGCTTCATGCATGCAAGGCAAGCACTCTACCACTGAGCCACCTTCCCAGACCTCTAGGCTAGTCTTGAACTTAAGATCCTTTTGTTTTGCCTCTTGAGTAGTTGAGATACAGTAGCTGGGATTACAGATGTATACAATTATACCCAGCAATGTTGTGTTTAAGCCATCTGGTGGGCTGGAGATATAGTTTAGTGTAGAGTGTTTATCTAGCATGTGCCAAATCCTGGGTTCCATTCACAGCAATACACAAACGCAAATGCACACACACACACACACACACACACACACACACACACACACAGAGAAAAGCATTCATCTAGGTTTTAGAACTAGGTGTTTACTGCATGGTCTTTTACGTAGATAACAATTATAAAATAACACAACAATGGAGAGCATAGCAGTAACCAGAGGTAGGAAGAGGGAAGGGTATGGGTGTTGCTGTAGAAGGGATAAAGGCAATTAATGTGGTGAAGTAGAGCAGATTCCATCACAGCAAGTGTGGTGATAGTTATATAAGGCTAGAAACAACAAAATGCACTTGAGCCCATAGACATGTATATACACATACACAACTGTACAGGCAAAGTCTGAATCAGCTTTGTGGACAGTGCTAGTGTGAGTTTCTTTGCTTTGTGCTTTAGGTACTGTGATTGTGAAGTTGGCAAGGGGAAGGTACATGGGGCATTTTGGTATATTCACTGAAATACATACTTTGAATCTATAATTACTTAAAATCATAAATAATTTTAAGAGCCCTCTATTTTTCTTTTTGTCAGTCGTGGGGCTTGAACTCTGGGCTTGGGTGCTGCCCTTGTGCTCTTCAGTTCTAGGCGAGCGCTCTACCGCTTGAGCCACAGCATCACTTCCAAAGAACGCTCTATTTTTCTATAACTGAGTTACTAGTTTAATGGAAATACAACTGCATCATTTTTTTCTTTTTTGGTTGGTCAAGAGGTTTGAGTTCAGGACCTTGGAGCTGTCACTGAGCTCTTCTGCTCTAGGCTAGTGCTCTACTACTTTGAGCCACAGCGCCACTTCCCCTGCTGCATTTTTTAAAAAAATGATTTGGGTTTTGATCATGATTCACAGCCATTCTAAAAGACAGCCCTTACTAAAGAGAGTGCAGGCAACTGCCTGAGGAAGGGCGGAAGGGCTCACCAAGGCCTCAGCTGTTCCATTTCCTCCTGAGGAAGCTGGTTTTCTATACCACAAAAGCACATGTAGGAGATAAACACAGTTTTACTGGATCAAGGAACCTGTTTCATTGGGTTCCCAGTCTTTGACTTGCTCCTGGTGACAGGGTCATCAGTTTTTTTTTTTTTTTGGTTTTTTTTTGTCTGTTGTGGGGCCTGAACTCTGAGCCTAGGTGCTGTCCTGAGCTCTTTAGCTCAGGCTAGTGCTCTACCACTTTGAGCCACGGTGCCACTTCCAGTTTTCTGGCAGTTAATTGGAGATAAGAGTCTCATGGACTTTCCTGTTTGGGCTGACTCTGAACTACAATCCTTAGATATCAGCCTTCTTCGTAGCAGGATCATCAGTTCTTAGGTACACACATTTCACAGAAAGCCCAGCTTGCTGTCCCTGCATGGGAGGGGCCTATTGCTTGTACAGGAAACAATTAGTGTTCCTTCCCAGTCTCCTTGCTCAGTGGGGTGGAGAACTCAGTTTGTCTTCATTTGCTCTTGTGCTCCCCTGTTCTGGGGATTGGAGTGAGCATTTGACACTTGTCTTCCCTCCTCTCAACATTTACTCTCAGCTGGAAAGTCTTGTGTAGGAGTATGTGCTACCACAGCCTCTGAAGACAGCATTATACCTTCAGAGTAAATGGTTCCCCCACAGTGAACCTAGTTTTACTGCAAGGCCTGGAATGTGTTTTGGAATAACAGGAATGTGTCAGATGCTCAGTGTGTCTTTATACACTCAGTGTTCTGCAGATTAACATAGGAACACAAACTCAGCCTTCAGTATGTCTCGCATTTGCAAAGTAAGAGATAACATCATGTACTCATTCATACAGCATGTACAGCATTCAAGCTGACCTTGTCCTTGTCTTCTGAGCCGAACACAGCTCACAGGGAGCCCAATGAAAGTCTTATGGACTAAGGGGCCAGTAAACTGTGGCCTGAGGCTAATCTGGCCTGTTATCTGCTTATATGTAACATGCAAGCTAAGTATGATTTATTAAAAAAATTTTTTTTTTGCTGGTCTTGGTCCAGATAATGGGGGGACAATGGACAAAGTCCAGCTCTGACAAAATGTTAGCAAGAGCTCATCTTAGTTAATATACAAGTGGGCATCTGTCATCAAAGTTATATGGAAGGCATAAATAGTAAGATCTTAGGCTAAGGCAAGCCAGGGCAAAACTACAAGATCCTACTTGAAAAATATCTAAAGCATAAACGCCTAGGGTGTATGCTTCAAATTTAGAGTGCCTGTCTAGCTAGCATCAGGCATTGAGATCAAGTTCCAGTTTTGTGGGGGAAAATAGGCAGTCTCTGGTGTCACCACCTTGTGCCTATGTTGTAAGTCATGCCGAGTACCTAGTTACTCCCAGACCAGTCTTCAGCTTCCTCAATGATCAATTTTCCTGTTTGGTCTGCTGAGCACACACAAGGCCCTGTTTGCTTCTGCACAGAATGGAGGCAGCTCAGGGGTCTTGCTCTCTCCAGTCCTGGAGCGTATGCACTGGAGCATTTCACTCATCTGTGGACAGGGCTGTGGACAAACGGAATGTGTTCTGTGCCTCTCAGTTGAGTAGATTTATGTGTCTAAAAAGGCTCCAAAGTGGTAAACCTGTCCATGTATTCAGATTGCCAAGGTGTTTGTTTTCCACTTCCATGCTTAGCTGACCCAACAGCAAGCTCCTCTTGGCTGCCACTACCTAGAACCACCCAAGGCCTTATAAGGGTCCTAGGGTACCTTCCACTGTAGAAAGCTTTGGTGTTCCCACAAGTAACTGAATTTGATCCTGCAAATGCCACTTCTACCACTTAGGGTTCAGGTTTTCTTTCCTTTCTGCAACCTACCTAAATGTCAGAAAAACAAACATTATAAGGCCAAGAACGTTTGGGGAGGGATACGGTGACACGTAGACTTTTTTTTTACCCTAGTTCTTTGCATAGCAACATATGCCCACAGTGGAACAGCTATACCTTTTCTTTTTCTGGTGCTGGGATAGAACTCAGGCTCCTGCACAAGCTAGATAAATTCTCTATCACTGAGCTATACCCCAGCTCAGAATGAGTGTACTGCCATTTCAGCATGGGCCAAGTTGACCTGAAGTTTAAAGGCAATTTTCTGCTATGAAGCACAAATAATTCCTAATTATTCTTCTTCATATCCCCTGTATGTATGTGTGGGTGGAGAGAGAGGTGGGTGGAGAGAGAGGGGGGAGGGAGAGAGGCAGAGGTGGGGGAGAGGGAGAAGGAAGAAGGGGAGAGAGGGAAAAGAGGAGGAGGGGAAGGGAAGGGAGGGAGAGAGAAAGAGGGAGAGGGAGAGGGAAGCAGAGAAAGAGAAATAGAGAAATTACCTGTGGCCTTTGATAAATCACTCTGGCATAGAAACTGCACCGGGCAACCACATCAGGCATCTGGAAAGGCATTGAGAAAGATTAGTAACATCATACAAACCACACAGGCATGGTCAAAGTACTCAAAGAACGTGTTAGAAACAAAGATATTACCTGGAGAATTTCTTTTAAGTAGTGGAGAACTGGAGGCTGATAAAGTTTCAAAAGAGAATTATCTTCAATTATGTCAATTTGTCCCACACTGGGAAGAGCTGAGAGGATATAGCAGAAGGCAGGAGGAGGTAGATTAGTTTTTACCTGTTGAAAATGAAGGTAAAGGTAGAACATAAATATATTGTTGAATATATACTTAACAAATACCTTTTTAAAATCTTCTCTTTCATATATTTATGATTGCTTATTGAAGGAATAGTTACAGATTCTATCCTGTCCCTGATCTAATTAGTGATTTAGAGTTGGTTATATGAATAATTAGAAGGGGATGGGAAAACACCATTGCTTGTTTGGAATGAGGCTTAAATCTAGACTGCTGCAACAACCTTTGAGGATTGTAGTTTAAAAATTCAGAGTAAATTAACCTGAGAAGCAGAGAAGCATGCTGTGCAGCACAGCAGCCAGAGCGTGGACTCTGGAGCTAGAGGATGAGATCACAATCTCAGTGCTAAATTACATTCATGTGTAACCACAGATATAGGAACTAGCTGCAAGGGTTCCTTGCTGCTACTGCAGAGACTAGGAGTCTATAGATTGGGAAAGTATCTGGCTTGCTACTGGTTTACCAAGAAAGGAGGAGAGTCTTGGATAATGGACTTACTTCTTCACAGGGCTGGTCTTGGCTGGGGGTTTTCAGTGGCATCATTGAGGGCCACAGGGTGTCAATCAAACTGAAGAGTCCAGGTGTCCTAGAATAAGAAAACACATTGACACAAATATTCATCTAAAATATTTCCTATTAAGTGTCTGGTCAGTTAGCTGTTGAAAAAGTCAAAACAGAAACCAGCCAAGGAGCTACAGTTTCAGATGGCCTATACCATCTGTGGGACACTGACACACTGACACAGGTGATAACCCAACTGCAAGATAGGAGATTGCTCATTAAATTATAACACTGTACTATGACATATATCCAGCCACTCAAACAGTTATATACAAACAATTAAGAAGTGATGACTCATACCTGTAATCCTAGCTCTTGTTAGGTGGGGACATAGCTAGATCTTGTCTCAAAGACCAAAAACACTAACCAAAAACCAAACAAACCAAAACATTAAAAAAAATCAAACAAAACCCTACCCTTAATGATACAGAACATGGTTGAAAACCAGGCAACAAATTAATTGCTCTTTGTATGTATGTATCTAGTGGTTATCTGAGGAGGACACACACACACACACACATACACACACACACACATAAACACACACACACAATTGTACAATTATGCTAGGACTTGAACTCAGGGCCTGGACATTGTCCCTCAGCTTTTTCACTCAAGGCTGGTGCTTTACCACTTGAGCAGCTCACCGTTCAGCTTTTTAGTAGTTACGTAATGATAGAGAATCTTTCAGACTTTCCTGCCTACGCTGGCTTTGAACCACAACCCTCAGATCTCAGCCTTCTAGGTATCTAGGATTACAGGCATAAACTACTGGCAAATGATGGTTTCTTATATTTTTTCCAAAACAGAGAGCTTATGTTCAGGAGGGTTATATTCTGATGAAGCCATAATTTGAAAATATTGCATATAAAATATATTAAATCTGAGTGTGTATAACACACATATAAACACATATAATTCTGCTTAATTTATTAAATATCATAGCTCAGCAAACTAGTACACCATGGAATTCTTTTCCATGATCATATTTTTGAAAAGATCAAAATCTGAAGCACAGCTTCTGCTGAAATCCATATGGTTTTTATACTATCATAAACTCACAAAGTCTTAAGTTGAAGCATTGTAAAGCAGGGACCATTTGTATATTACTTATATACAAGAAAAACGAACACAAACAGACATTCTATGATTCCACTTATATGGTTCTTGCCTAAGATCTGACTTTCTAAGACAGAACTTCAACCTTTAATCCAGCTCGTTGTTAATGGAGGCAGAAGGAAACACTTGGTTCTCTCTGTAGCTCTACCTTTATGTACATTCAGAAAGTCAGTTATTAGACCTTGTGTTTCTCTTTAGTACCTGGCGGTCTGTATTGTTGCAAGAAGTAAAAGATATGAGCATAGCAGTGTTTTAGAGTAGGTTGTCAATATATCTGATGTTGTATTATTAGTAATGTTATTATTAGGAACATGAACTTGTATGCAGCTTTTGCTCAAAAGTTTGTCTAGCTTTTTTTCCTTTAGCTATGTAGCCCAGGCTGTTACATAAGAAGAAAACTCTCTAAGAGAACATTAAGGCCATGAACAAAAAAACATGGATGATGTGGTGGACATGGTGTCAGTGCAGACACTGAAAGAGCAGATGAAGTAACAAGGATGACACTGAAAGGTCACAGTCACATTACTATCTTCACCCTGATTCCAAAAACTTATTTCCCTGGGTCTGCCTCTCTCAGACAAAACAAACGAACAGATAGAACTACAATCAAAGAAAGGCTGGCCTGACAGAACCAATTTGGACCTTCAGAGAAAAGCAACAGTAACAAACCCACTAATCATCAGTCAGGATGCATTTGCTGGAAACTAAAGCCTAGTTTTAGCAAGAGGACTGGCTGTTTTGGAGGGTAAATGGTGGCTAACATAGCTCAGAGACTTGGATTTTTCCCTCACTGTCTATTTGCTAAGGCTAGGAGTGTGAAATTTCAAATACTTTTCATTCTTCACATAATCTTTTGAACAAATAATGAAAAAAGATATTTTAATTTCCTTAAGAAACAGGATCACTTAGAGCTGTTATAATTTAGATGCCAATAGGCTCTCATTAAATCTTGGACTTTCATAGGTGTTTCTTAGAGATGCACTTTCCTAGGAAGGAAAGAGGATAAAATTAAGAATTACCTCAGGAGAATGCCAACTAGCCAGTAGTTAGAGTCTGGTTCAGCAGAACAGTTGACAGACTGGTGCTCATGAATTCATGAGTGCAGAACACTGCTCTCAGGCACACACACTCCTAGGACTAGTAGCCTCTGTAGGGTATGGAATAAGGAATCTCTTTCAATACTGTGTTCAAGTCTTCCATAAGCCTGTAGTTATTGAAATGTAAGATACCTCTTCCAAGAACATATTCTCACTTATAAAGATGTGCAGAAACCCTTAAAAGTGCGATACAATAAAGAGAAGGAAGTACCAGAGCACATGAATCTAACAAAGGCCTCACAGACTTAGGACTCAAGACTGTAACAGAAGATGAATGGATCAAGAAAATGTGGTATACAATGGAATTCTATGCCTCCATCAGAAAGAATGACATAGCCCCATTTGTTAGGAAATGGAAAGACTTGGAAAAAATTATATTAAGTGAAGTAAGCCAGGCTCAAAGAAACATAGGTCCCATGGTTTCCCTTATTTCCAATAACTAGGATAAGACTAGGACAAGCAGAAGAGGTCAAAAGCTATTTACATATGACCATATAAGACAATGTTAAGTGAAATGAACTCCAAGATAGGGACACAAGTGTTTTTTCTTCCTTGCTATTGTTTTAAACGTATTTAAAATGTACTATGTGACTTTTTTTGCTTCTTTTGTATGTTCTTCCCCCATGGTACAACCCGTTTTCACTGTATTTGGTGTCAGTGTCCTGCATCTTGTATATACATTTTTCTAATTTGGGGAGGGGAAGGGAAAAAACAAAATGCTGAAATAAGGATACAGGTTTACCCATTGTAACAGTGAGATATACAAGACACTATGTTGACAACGAACTTTACAACTTAGGGAGGAGGTGGGAGGAGTTGGGGAGATGGAGAGGGAAGGGATGGTAGGGGATAAACAAAGGAGGAGGTAACAATGCTCGATAGGAAATGTACTCATTACCTTATTTATGTAACTGTAACCCCTCTGTACACTATTTTACAATAAAAATACTTTAAAAAGACTGTAACAGAGTCACTCAAAAAATTCTGTCATCTGTCAAGGTTTAGGGGGCATATTCTCAATCCTAACCACTGGGGATCAGCTGAGGAACACAGGAAGCAGGAGGCTGTTTAGAGAGGACACCGTTCATCTGTGAGGCAGAGGTTCTGAAGTTTCTTTCAACTTCATCTCCTCCACTCTCTAGTGCTGATGTCATCCTTAGCTCCTGTGTGTCTGCGAGAGGAAAGATGGTTCACAGTCCCCAGCACCAAGTACGTGTGGTGAAGCTGGTAGCAGAGGAGCAGCAGGAAGACACAGGATTCTCCCCTAGAGCAGCACTAAGTACTAAACAGACAACATTTTCCCATCAAAATCTGCTTCTTCTAACTATTTACAAACGTCACAGTGATCCAAGACAGTCTGTATACAACTTTCTTTTGGGTGTGCGTAAGAGTGAAATTTAAACCAAGTGACATGAGCAATGTAAGATCAGGCGATAACATGCAAGCAAACAGCATGGTGACTGACTAAATTTATTCTGGGAGGCTCAGATTTTTTTTAACTGACTACATATTTTGGTATAAATTTTCCTTAATATTTGTCATGAATATGTCAATATCTCTATTGCTGTGGCACTGCACTCCCAACTCTTAAGATAGTTTTTTGGAAAATGAAATCATTTGGGCCAATGGTTCTCAATTGTGGGGCCTGAGGACCCTGGAGGTCATGGAAGGTTTGGGTGGCCTAGAATGCCAGAGACATTTTTCTACTAAGACTTTATTTTTCTTTCTCATTTTCATTCTTTCATGACTGTACAGTGGAGTCTTCCACTGTACATGATGTATAATTTTACAACAGACTGAACAGAGCACAGATGGTAATCAATTATCTTCTATAAAATCAGACATTAAAGATATATGAAAATGCAAACCTCTGCTACTTTTTAGACAGAATTTTCAAAAATTATTTTTCATAAAAATGTTGTTTATGAGTTGGGTGTGGTGGTTCATGCCTTGTAATCCCAGCACATGGGAGATGGAGACAGGAAGATATAGAGTTTAGTCTAGCTTGAGCTACACAGCAAGATTCTTTTTCAAAAAACAAAACTGAAATGAACTACATAGTTTTAACTTCTAATATGGTTAAGACTGACCAATATAATCCATATTAAAAAATAAACTCTGTGCCTTCAATACTTTTTTGTAGAGATGCTAGTATTGGGGCTTGAACTCAAGGCTTTTTCCTCAAGACTAACAATCTACTACTTGAGCTACACCTCCACTTCCAGCTTTTTGGAGATGAATCTCATGGATTTGTCTGTCCAGGGTGGCTTTGAACTACAATCCCTGTATCTCAGCCTACTGAGTAGCTAGGATTACAGGAGCTTGTTACTAGTGCCCAGCTCAATCCACATTTTTTTTTTTTTTTTTTTTGGGGGAGGGAGGTTTGTCATGGGGACTGAACTCAGGGATTAGGTGCTGTCTCTAAGCTTTTTTGCTCAAGGCTCATGGTCTATCACTTGAGCCAAAGCTCCACTTCTGGCTTTTTGGTAGTTACTTGGAAATAAGAGTCATGAACTTTCCTGCCTGGGCTGGCTTTGAACCACATCTCAGATCTCAGCAACCTAAGTAGTCAGGATTACAGATGTAAGCTATTGGTGCCTGGCTCAATACTTTTTTTTGTTTTTAAGAGTATGCAAAGGTTTGGAAGTGTCCTCTAAACCTTGGTATTGTTCAAGACAGTCTCCTTACTCTTTCTTCTCTATGTCCTTCCCTCTTGTGCCTGATGGAGTTTTAAGCTATGCATCTGCATTCATACTGCAGTCTAAGTGCTCAACTGTTATCTATCATTGGGAGACAGGACTGTAGTATT